GTTTTCCTTTCGTAATTTGCACCTCTGAAACCTATTTTAATATATTTCTGGAAATAAATTTTGTTACTGTTGTCAAGCATACAACCATAATTATTTCCGAAAAAAATATACTCACTGCTGTCGCTATTTTCTGTCCTTTAGGCCACACAACGCGCCCAGTCTGCCATCTAAATCGCGTAGAGGACAACTGGTGCGTTTCACTTCTCGTATCCAGTACATCATCCTTTTCTGCGTTTTCGTGCACCATCCCTCCATCTCCTTTTGCACTCCGAAGTACCGGCTCCACAGACTATTTTTAAAGGCTTTGAGTTTTGTATTTTTTTGCGGTGAATTTTAAGTCAGCGTTTGCTTAATGTCAAAGCAAACTGTACAGCTATAAACACCATTTTAGCATATATCAGGCGGAATTCAAAATGCAGGCTGTGTCTCAATTTAGAGTTCTGGTGGGATTGACGGATTACTGTATTTTTCGGTCTACGCTTTAACTCCTTAAAGTCTATATTGTGTCGGTGATCTTGCAGGATATTTCACAGACTTTTGCATATTTACTGGCTCATCTGAACTAGCCCAACAGACCTCGGTTTATCCACGGATTGACAGTCCTTCGTGTTGCATCCTTAAAATTGTCAACTTAATCTATAATCTATGGGCAGAGAGGAACGAGCCTTTCACCGAGGTGTGTTACTTCTCTGATGGTTAAATTGTCCGTCCACTGTCAAAGGTTAATTGCTTCACTTCTTCTCCTTCTTGCTCTTCTTCATCTTCTTCCTGCTCTCATTCTTCTTGCTCTTCTTTTTCTTCTTCTTCTTTTTCGGCAGGAGTTTCCTTGGTAGCGCACATATGTTCTTATTTATATTTAAATGCCTACTCCAACGCTTCCCGTAAGACAGAAACTTGGGGCATTATACATGCGATATCACTATCCCAACCTAACCCTTACCCTTACCCTAAAACTTAGCCTAACCCTTACCCTAACCCTTACCCGAACCCTAACCCCAGCCCTTACCCTAACCATAAACCTAACCCTTACCCTAAACCTAACACTTACCCTAACCATAAACCTAACCCTTACCCTAACCCTAACAGAAATTAATTGTGTGGGCATTTAAATGTAAATAAAAACATATGTGCGCTACCAAGGAAACTCCTGCCTTCTTTCTCTTCTTCTTCCTAACTGACTGGTCGAAATACTTGACCAGTAAAAGCATGAGTGTGGCGCATTAGGCAAACGCGTGTAACGCAGCAGTGTCCTAATAAGAAGGCGTCATTTTATGCAATGAACGGAACATACCTAAAAAGCTGAAATTTCAAAACCTTTAACCAAACAGGAAGCGCACGGCGAAAGCTGTGGGACCAACCGATGGGTCGGACCCCTCGCAGCTGAGACAAGCAGCAACCGAATACCAGCAAAACAAGTCTCTGGCTTTTATGCTAGTACCGGTGTTACCAGTATGGTAAACAACGATGTAGTTATACAGTACGGCGGGGA